CTCTTGATACGTTTGGCTGTGCAGGGCTCTCCAAGTGGTGACCCATCATGTATTCATTTGCTCTAGGCTGCTATTACTGCATTGTGGAAAACACAACATTGGGGCTATACTTTGAGCTTACACTTTACCCCACCCTACATATCATACAAAGATTTGTGTGGGATACGACAGTTCAGGCTAATGATCTCTCAGTCAAGGGGTTCTGTTGCCGTGAGGATAAAAAAGTAAAAAAAAAAGAGAAAAAAAAAAAGGGGGGATGAAACAAAGAAGACTAATAGTTTATTTGTCTATAAAAGTAATGATTTGTAACTGACTAGGATTGATTAATCCATTGGTTTTGAACAAAGATTGGAATAAGAGTGTAATGACAGCATTTAGGTTTTAAAGAAAAGTACTTCCAATAGTCAAGCATTGCCTTATGAAGGTCCTAGATGAGTATAAGATTTTTACTTTCTAAATGTCATACCACCAGGCAGGTATATTCTATAATTGTTAATGAAACACAGTAAGGTATGAATTAGTGGTTACTTTCTGTGTTATCCAGCACTTGGAATAATATGATTTAGCCATATTGTAGTCAGCTGTATGTGGGAAACATGCAAGTATGTGTTTAGTTGCAGGTGTATGTCTCTGTGGGTATATGGATCTAGTTATGTGTGTTCATTTACATGTTTGTTTCTTTGTTTTCTACTTGGTGAACCTGTTGCATCTGGGCCACCTAAACCACTGAATTGGCCAAAGTAAGGCTGACTATGCTCAAGCATTCATTTGTAAGATTGTGCAGTACTAGTTTGGTGATTTTGTTAATTGTTTGTCATGGATCCCCATTCCTGGTGGCATTATTTGTGAAAGTATTATGAAGTAAGAATTTCAGGCAACTTCTGAAGGCTGTATCTCTGCACAAAAATGCACAATGCACAACTATTCAGCACTCTTTAGTGCACCATAAAGAATGTAGTTGAAATGACATCAAGTGTCAAGACAACTTTCATGGCCAGCTAGGCTCATGCCAAACCCTGACTAGCAATTATGTGTTGACACTATTTAAAATGAATTGAAAATATAAATGTGTATGCTTCTTAATAGATTGCAGTAAAATGGGAATTAAACTGATCTTTTCGAGGAACCACCTTTCCATGGTTACTTTTTATTGATCTTTTAGCCAAGATGATGCCAAAATCTTGTCATTACTTCTGTGGGATCTTTCTTGTTGCCCAGTCTTGGAAGTGGGCTAGATATTGGCTCAGGCCCTCCAGATTGGGAGGCATTACAAATTCAGGGAGAGTCCTCTGTGTTATTATCAATCCTTAGGTAACCATTTTGTTACTTTGGATTTGAAAGCTGATTCTTTCAGATGATATTTCATTTGATTATAGGACCTTACCAGTATTATTCAGGAACTTTGAAAGGATTTAGATCATAAACACATAACGAATATTTAGCAAAGATTGAAACAACAATTTTTGTATCATTGATTAAACAGAAGAAAACCTTTTTCTTAATATTGAGCTTTTAGGCAAGAAGGAAATAAAACAAGACAAAATAGGAAGGATATAGTTCAGTGTGGGATGAGCCATTTCTTTGTATGGGAATACATGCTAATACACATTATGGTAGGCGTGATAGAGTAGTGAATGGTATTTTCTTGTAACACACTTAGAATATGGAAATCATTATATGATTCTTGCAGGGATTTTCTGTATTTGCTACTTATCGTGCTGCAAATTTTCCCTTGGCAATATTATCAGCATCTGTCAGAGCATGGATGGAGTTTGAAATAGCTCTCTTAAGGATAAAGGTATAGGTAATATGTGATCATTGTATAAATAATGGTGATGGATTAGTAGTCTGTTGGGTATTAGTAGTTTTTGTGAATTTGGGTTTTCCAGAAATTAGGTGTTATCTTATTGTCTCCTGTTGTACTAAGTCATCTTTTATCATTTTTCTCAATCTATTTATGAACACCAGAATGATTGTTACTTCAGTATCATGAAAGTGAAAGCTTCATGATGTACATTTGTAATTCTCCACTGTATATGTTAACAAAAATAGATTGAAGTGCAGAAAAAAGCAAGTCATGTTAGTTTTGTTGATAGTTTCAGATATTTCCAGACTTTGCAATGTAGATCAACCCAATCAGCACGGATGGCCATGTCCACTGTCATTTAACTTCATTTATTATATTTACACATAGATGGCTCTACAAGTGCGTCAAGGAGTCAGTTATTAGTCCTACCCATCTCACCTGTTTATCCTTTTCCTTGATTTTTGGAAAGTTTCTTTTGTATTATTTCATTGTTTGCAATCTTACCAGGATTTTGATAATAACTGAATAATCATAATATCAGTAAGAGTAATAACAGTATTGATATTAATAATATTAGAAAGAAAAATACATTTTCCTGCAATTTCAAGGAATGTAGGAATCAGGAGCGGTCACTAGGGTCTAGTGATAGGCTCCTTGTTGGCTGAGCATATGTGGAGCCATCTGTTACAATAT